TTAGATTATTAGATATTGAGATATGTGTTTTGGAATTTGTGATGTAAAATTTTAATGAACATAAAACACCCGATGTACGTAGAAGTTCTACCAACTTTAAAAGGAGTAGATGATCAGCATTTATGTTATTCAGGATGATACGCATCTATAAAAAAATAGGGGTGTTCGGATACTTATGACCGCTACTGTATCTTAATAATTTGATTTTTAAAAAACTATTCTACTCATTAATAAATTATTTACTGCGTATACATGAGAAATCATTTATTACGTATACATGAGAAATCATTAATTACGTATACATGAGAAATCATTAATTACATATACATGAAAAATCATTAATAAAATACATGTATTTACTACGTATACATTAATATATGGCCAAATTAAGCTATTCAAGCGTGATACACCACAAAACACCGGATATATTACCATGACCAGAAATTGATTTACCAGAAATCAATTATATCCATTGTATATCGTTGTTTTGGTGTATATTGTTTTGGTGTATATCGTTGTTTTGGTGTATATGGTTCAGCGAGCTGAGCGAATAAAAACGTATTTATTAAAAAGACCATTGAAAAACAAAAAAAGGAAAATAAATGAAAGTCAACTAACTGCAGTCTTAACTGTTCCAACGCAATAATAATCATTAAAAAACAAATTATTATGATTGCCACGCAAAATAATGAACACCATAGACTGCCATGCTGCGCTGGATCGCATAACAATAGCGGTACTGGATCTGTGTGCTCAACTGTTCGTGGTGGTGTTGCGTTTTGAACGGATGTTTGAAAGTCATCGATTTTCGAACCGCATTGTGACATTGAATCTACGCGTTTTTTAGAAACTGCCGGCTCGGGTTTATGTATCTGGATAACAATGGATTCTGACGTTGGCATTGCGGTTTGAGGTTGTATGTGGTATAAAAATTTAAAACTCACTCTATATAATAGGATTTTTTGGTTCACTAACACTGCAATGGGATTTTATAGTTTTTTTTTTTGCTAAAGCTTGGCATAACGATAACGCTAAGTCGATTAAGAAATTAAACAATGAATCATATACATCATATACAAATTACTTTATTCAATAGTCACACAAATTAATTTGTCTTACGTACATAAAAAACGAATTCCGACCAAGTTTCTGATTGGAAGTTAAGGTTAAAACATTCTATTACGAATGAATATGCAGAAAAACAATTAATTTCCTTATGCAAAATACGTAAGATGCATGTATTTAAAGATACATGTAGCATACAATCATAGAAAATAACATAACTATAGAAAAATACATATACCTACAATACAATTTTAAATAAATTCTGTGAAAAACAAATCTATTCATTAATTAGATTTGCCGTTTCTTCATCTTCAGTGTTAGGAACGTGCGAATAATACGGTTTACGTTGCTTCTTCCTTCCATACTTAATCCACACAAAAGCGCTTAAAGCTGACGAAAAAAGCATTGCACTAACCATCAACGGATGGCAAACAACCGTTAAGATTTTATTTGGTAGACTCGTAGTCTGGTGCTCTTTAGCATTACTTGTGGGTTTGGTTGGTCCGGAAATAATGATCGTTTCATCAACTTCAGCCGTTACCAATTTCTCAATTGCATCGATCAAGTGATTTTGTGGCTTTTCGATGAGAGATTCAATAGCCTCGAATACAGAAGACGCTGTTGAATTGTTTGGTGTGTCAACGTCGTCGTGTTCAATGTTCGAGTCCTGTTCATCGTCTAGTGAATCAATCACATCAGTTATGTCATCGATGAACGACAACAATGCTTCCTCAGATGCCAATGGTTCAAAAACATCATCAAAATCATCGAAAAGTTTCGAAGGTCTTTCATGCTTATCGTTTTTTCCATGATCCATGTGAGATGGACTGTGAGACAATGGGGATTTATTCTTGGGTCCTGAAAATGGACCAAGAAACGGTCCCGGCATTCCCATTATTGCTTGTTCCATCTTGTCCATTATTGACGATAAAGGAAAACCCGGTCTCGAATGAAGAATATCTTCAAATTCGGATAGAGGAGATGGTAGATCGAATAGGGAAGAGATAGGAGAACCATCGTCCATATTTCCTTCCTGACCGACAATTGTTACAGTAACTTCTTTGATCTCGTTATCATCATCCGGAATATTTTCTTCAATTGTGATTATTTCTTCGAATTTTGGGAGTGGGGAGGCGAGTACGAGAAGAAAGAAAGAGGAAGAAATAAAGAGACAGAGGGCAATTTTATAACTTGTGAATCTCATTTCGATTGCGTGTGTGTATAAGGAATTGTTTCATTATTACCACTATTCATTCTTCTTTTATTTATATGAATTGTTAAAAAGTAAAATTCACAAGAAAAATTAGTTGGTATTGATAATCATTGCAAATGTGATCATTTTGTCTTGATGCTTTAAATCTTGCCTGATCAAAATCAATTTAATACAAATTTGCATCAATATAAAATAGGCGATGTGACATCACATGCCGAATTTTTCAAATTGGGACTGTTTAGCAAAAATTAATTCATAAGTTCTATAATGGACATGTCATCACCCTAGACTACGTACAAAAATCGAATCGTACGATGGTCGTAGGAAGATTCCGTCGCCGTTGTGACAGAAAGTTGAGTTCATTGTACAGCATAGTACGCACATGTACATGAGTTACAAGTTACAAGTGACCGGTTAAAAGTTGCTTTGTGCTGGATCATATAAATCAAAAGCGTTTATTTATTTATCTTTTGCATTCTTAAAATTCTCTCGAGTAACAATGTCGCAATCCGCACAAACCACTTTACGAAATAAACCACTTTTCAGAATAACGGAAAATTCCACCGACTCTATTTCTACGAATTCCGTTTTACAAATCGCGTTGGATATCGATGATTACGATGAAGATCTTTATGAGCTTACGATCTATAAACCAGCACAAATCGAACGAAAAAATTTGAAAAATCAAATTAGCGATGATAAAAAAGACGCAGCATCCAAATTCCGTTCATCGATATATCGATTCATAGAGAAACTGCGCAGGCTCAAAACTGAATTTGTGGATGATGAGGATAGAATTTATATCTCGGGACTTTTACTGGCTTTGTTTTTTTGCTTCACTATAATAATTGGGGTGCCGACTTGGAAATATACATGATCCTCTTTATATAAATATTAGGGAATTGTGCTATTCGTCATCTCAGAAGTTGGCTTTACCAAATGTATTTTAGTTACGCGCCCTAATAAAGAAATTATATTCTCGAGAGAATGCTATAATCAAAAAAGAAAGAAAATACATCTTTAAATATCATAGAAAAAATTGACCTTCTAGACCGCCATCACTATACTGTATTTATACGAACAATGAGTCAATATCGAGGCATTAGACTATTTTTATAATTGTCATACGGAACATCCTAAAACCTGTTATTTTACCCACCGATACGCCCAAGAAAGTTTGTAGAGAACACTAGCTATAAGTGGTAGTACATGTATCAATCACGAACATTTGCATATGAATACATGTACATGTATATCGTATAGGAGCAGTTGCAGTTTCGAGTACAACTTAACGAGTGTACACACATGATCACGAAAGCACACGATACGATTGGACACCATAAATCCTAAATTTTGACAGCACACGACAAGTTCTTTTCTTCGATCAGACAATAAAGTTTCTTAATGTATCACACTGAAGGCAATTTGTAGTATCAATATGTGGGGACATGTGTATACTGAATGAGCGATTGTGAGCTAAAATAACAAATAAATTATAAATAAAGAAAAAATTGCTTTTTTTTCCGAGTTTAAATATTCTCATTCATAATAATATTGTTAAGATATATTAAAAGTTATGAGTTCAATCATCTCGACTGAAGCAATATCAAAAGAAACGGTTTCTACAAAAGACGTATCATTAGACGAAAATTCTTTAAGAAATAACATGAATACTGTACCAATTCACACCAAAGAAGAAGCAGAAGAAAGAGTAAAAGATAATGATGCAAGTTCTACACAATTTCAGCAGTTAACCAATAAACCATCATATTTACAATTTCAGCAACAACAACAACAGCAGCAACAGCAGCAACAGCAACAACAGCAACAGCAACAACAGCAACAGCAACAGCAACAACAGCAGCAACAGCAGCAACCACAACTGCAACCACAACTGCAACCACAACTGCAACCACAACTGCTGCAGCAACAGCAACAACTGCAGCAACCACAACTGCAACCACAACTGCAACCACAACTGCAACCACAACTGCACAAACAACAATCTTATCCTCAAATTAATACAATTTATAGCCCTCATCCACAGGTTACTATTTCCCCATCTCCAATACCATCAATTTTTAATTCATCGACTCCTCCTTTAGGATTCCATCATTCAGCAGTATTTAATGCACAACAAAATACAAATTTTAATGACTATTCTAATGTTTCTTTTCCTCCTTCCGTGAGACACGCGCCAACTTCGGAAGTATTCGATCATCCAAAAAGAGATTCATCAACGGAAGCAACTGGACATGACTCTGTACCACAAATCCATCCTATTCACAATCCACATCAACCTGGATTTTATTATCCACAACATTTTATCATTCAACCGCCGCCGCGTTCAAATACCCTAACTACTCAACAATTACCAATTAACAATGACACAATCGTAGAGATCGCATATCAACAACCAGAACAAGTTCGTTATGTAGAGAATCCTACAATGAATGGAGACGAACCTCAATCGTTCAATACACAGCTTAAGAAGCAACGAAAACTCGGAAGAAAGTTTTCAAGATCCGAACCACATCCGCATGACGAATACCAAAGAAACAAAAGTTTTTCTCTAATGTGTCAACAACCATGTTATGACAAGGGAAGACCAACTCAGAAATTTTGGTTCGGCATTGTCGTAATTACATTGATTGCTGGCATTGGTAAGTATTTCAATTCGTGACTATGATTTATCCTGATCAAGAACTAACTATCGCTATCTTGTGGTCATTCTTTAGCAATTGTAATTATTTTTAGTGTTGCTGTTCATTGACATTATTGGGCAGACTATCGAATTGAAGTCATCTGTCCAACAAAGGAAAGAAACTTCCGAGTTTAATCATACACATGCATTGTGTATGATACGTTTTTGTTAACGTTAGTTGAAATTCCCAACTTTCTCTCATACAATAAAGAGATTTTTCTGATTCAATTTTAATATGAATTTTATATGAAGAACTCAATTAGTTGATATGTAAAAAAGAAAGTTAGACCAATTATTTATTCATGCTCTCATTAAAAAAAGTACGTTCAATGACATTTCATTCTGGAAAATCTGTATTCCGACGATGATTGTGTTTATTTATTTATACCGATACGTATTATTTATTTATTTACGATTCGTTCTTTTAAATGACAACATGTCAAAAAAGCAAAATCCAAACTTAACTCCAAAAGATTTTTTTTCTCTGCTTTTTCATATCAAAGAAACGCATTAGGTACCTATAATATTCTCGAAATAAGCTGGAAAGAATGGTTGATTCAATTACGAACGAAAAAATCGATATCAAAATCGAAGTGAACAATGATGATTCTTGCATAGACTCAACAACACCACCACCAACAATAACAACACCGATAATAGCAACGTCATCGTCAAGAACCGAAGTATACAATGCAAATGTAATGGATCAAGAAAAGGATGTTAGTGCAGCTGTCAATAATAATAATAATAATACTAATAATAATGATAATAATAATAATAATAATAATAATAATAATAATAATAATAATAATAATAATAATAATAATAATAATAATAATAATGATAATGATACTAATAATGATGATGATGATGGTGATTCTGAAGACACAAGTGTATTTTCAAACGACATAACAGCAGCAACCATTGAAAACAATGATAGTTCTCTAGGGTCGGCTATACGAGCACCGGAAATGATTCATTTTCGAGCATCACAAGAAACGTTGGTGGAAATGCCAATAAATGTATGAAATAGAACTATCCTACTTGCACAAAAAGAATCATGGCTATTTCTTATTAAGAACATACATAATTAATGTCTTTAGGATACAGAAACACTACGTAATCTCGAACAGGGCTCAGCTTCACAATCTTCGCCGAAAAAGCGGGTTCCAAATAGTGCTACTTTTAGCGTGTTTTTCTCATTGAGTGTGGCTTGCATTATTAGTGAGTGTTTATTTTTTGATAAGTTATTTCTATATCAACTGATAATATATTTCTTATATCAAAAGTTATCCCCTGGGTTCGAGCTGGAATGTGAACATTGAAAAATTTCCATGGAATCTCGAGGCATCTCTTAAGTAATTTAGCATTTTAAGATTTTAATTGTTGTATTTTCTGAAAAAAATAGTTCTTATAATGAAATGTAATTATATTATGAACGATTTAAATGTTCAAATACGAAATATTGGAATTAATTTAAATATTCTTTCAAGTGAAATGTTAAAAAACTTGACTTATGTCTCTAACCTAATAATTTGGCATGAGACGATGACTTAATTCGAACACACCCACCCAAAGAAAACCTACAAATTAGTTGTACTACTTTTCTTAGCTTTCTTTTTGATATTTTCGATTTCCTCCAACCGTCTCTCACGTCTCATCTTCCATTTTAAAAACTCGTGTTGATCCTTCACACACCCAGAGCCAATATGATAACATTTTGCCACATATTCACACGCACTCGGGTACCCAGTTTCAGCCGCGCGAACATACCAATAGAACGCGGAATACTTATTTTTCGGCACACTTACTCCCCAACAATACGCATGTCCCAGATTCGAGCATCCATGCGGATGCCCTTCTCTTGCTGACTTCTTAAAATACTTTATCCCCTTCTCGTCATTTGGCGGAATCGACAGTCCATTCTGATAAAACCAGCCGATCTGGTTCGCGGCGAATGAATCATTGTTTGCCGCGGCGATCTTGTACCATCGTAATGCTAGTTTCTCGTTTGTGGATGTGCCGATTTCGTATTGGTGGCAGAATGCACGGAAACAGGACCATTCCCCATTGTAGATGCTGCTTTTTAAGAGGTCAAATAAAGTTGTGACGGGCAGTTTATTTACGCGGCACCATTCCAATACGCATTCTTTGGTTTGGTAGTCGTCTCCTGTGATATATGTCTCGTCGTAGAATACTTTTAATAATTCTGCTATATTTTGTTTATCTTCTTCTGTAATTTCTGGAACACGTAGATTTGGTCTCTCCTTTGGAGTTTTTATGAGTGGATTTTTTTTTGAGTTAAGAATTTATCAAGTTCTGTAGCTTCTTAATTAGGAAGTACGTAAATCCAAAATTTACTCCGTCACGATAATGATATACCGATAGTGTTAGGTCTTTCTTGATATGGACTAGACTTTGGATTTACAGTATCTCCTAACTAATTTATTGACTTGCACCATAGTTTAAATTAAGAAGAATAATCCTACCATAAGATCCGATCTGTCGCTATGTATGTTATTATATATTATCACTGTGAGAAAAATTAATCTAAAAACAAACCCTTATCGTTATTTTTATCGAAATCTAACAATAAGTTTGTAGATAAATACCGATACATACTGCATCCTATTTATATTTGCATATTGGTAGATCAGAACGCCGCCGTGTTTAACCAATTATATATACCAATACGTTTACATGTGCATAATGATTCTAAACTAAAAAATTTCATTTACTACGCATGAATTTATTTTACAAAGCAGAACTTGGAAAAGGTGAAAGAATCCCCCAGTGTACAATGACATCTTGATCCCACACCCTTCCTCGTATAATTGTTCCAAAAAGACTGCGCACCCAAATGAACAGTCAAAGCAGACATGAACAGTCAAAGCAGACTTATCGACTAATGATACCATTTTATCAAATTTGGCCCTGGGAGAAATTAAGTAGTAGACGAAATGGGAGAATTTATAGATCAAACTTATTTGTGATCAATATATTAAGAAAATTTTATTATTTTGCCTGTTATCTTCATTTCTTAATTTTAGGCTTTTACTTATAGTTTCAGGGCGAAATATTTAACCTTTTTAGATTAGTCTTTGTTTGCATCCCCAATCAAATTGGAGTTTTTTTTAACCCTGGCCAAATTCATAAGCCAAAATTGTGCAGCTTTTAAACCAAAATAATAGTAGACAACGTCACTAGTTTCTATACCACATCTAAAGTCATCAAACATTTGTATTTTATAAAATGTATAAACATCTTTACTAAGAAGTAAATATAAATTTTAATCCGTGAACATGATAGAATAAGCCATTTCTGAGCATGTTCACGGATTAAATTTTGCATTTAGTTCTTTGTAAAGATGTTTATACATTTTGTAAAATGCAAACGTTTGATGACTTTAGATGTTATGCACCATATTGCTTATGATAAATGGTGGAAAACAACCATGTGGCTTCCTATACCAATTTTCCTGATTTAGTTATTTAATCATAATTTAAACAAATTATTGCTACTCGGGAACTTTCTGATTGGGAATAACAATGCAATGCAAGTCAATGCAGATGTGTCAAATTATCTTGTAATACAGTTGATACATGTATATCGAAACTTACAAATCTATGTTGCATCCGTGTGTTATCAATTTCTTTCTTTATCAAATAAGCAACAAGATATAAATATGGAAAACGAAGGTGTACTATTGGCTTGAGTAATCGCCAAAGGATGAATGTATGATGTTTGGATATTACTCTGATTAGAGGGCTAATGCTTATCATCATATGGTGCATAACATCTAAAGCCATCAAACGTTTGTATTTTACAAAATGTATAAACGTCTTTACAAAGAACTAAATGCAAAATTTAATCCGTGAATATGATAGAATAAGCCATTTCTGAGCATGTTCACGGATTAAATTTTATATTTACTTATTAGTAAAGATGTTTATACATTTTATAAAATACAAACGTTTGATGACTTTAGATGTTATGCACCATAACAATTTTATTGAACAAGAGATATGTATCAGAACTTATAAAATTAAAAATGTATTTGAACTTTAAGAAAAAAAAGTTTATTAGATCGAAATTCAATTTGCAATTAACACCTTTAATAATCATCATACGAGTTAATTTGACAAGACTTGGAACAAAGTGTTGGTTATATGATTCATGTTTAAAGTTTTGTTGAATTAACCAATTAAAATATATAAAATATTAAAATAGATAGTTTGATTAGATAAATTCAATATTGATTCATGTTTAATCCTTTCTTAATTTTTTATATTTATCAAATTTAACACATTAAAATATAATCAAATTTTATAATTCATAATTTAAAATTTGACAAAATATATTAAATATAAAATAATATAATACAAATACAGTCTGCTCTCTCTATAATTACACTCGAGATAAATTATAAGAGATAACCAAATTTTTATATTTCTTAATAAGTTCGGAACTAAAAAAAATATGACTATATTGATTTGTAATTATATGTTTAGTAAAAATCAATTATAATAAATTAATATTTGAAATTACCTATAATAAATTTTGTTGATTGATAGTTCACAAATGAATGAAAATCTAAGTTTAATCTTTAATTTTAATTAAGGAAGCTTTGAAATTTAGGCTTTTTATTTACTAACTTAATAAATTGCAGAAGTATTTATAATAATTTGACTAAGTGTTATTATTTAAAAATTATTGCACTCATTAATTATATTAAATTAAGAGAACAACAAGCTTAATTTGTTTCAATAAAAATTTAATTAGAAATTGAATAAATTTACTATATCAGAAATACAAATTTTAGAATGTATTATATACTTATAAATTAGTAAAACAAAAAGCTTGACTTTCAATAAAAACCTCGAGTTATTTGATAAAATTGAAAGATTTATCTATTTAAATAAATTCAGATAAAAATAATTACGATTTTATATAAATAAAAATTTTAAAATATTATTATATTATAAAGTATTAGTCACTATAGCTAAATTTAAAAATACAATTATTAATCTAAATTTGAAAATTGCAGTTATGATTAATTTAGCTATGGAATTCTTTTTTTATACTAATAACATTTCGACAAAATTCTCAAAATAAATTAATGCAAATTGTCATTTGCAAATTTTCAAAATTTTCTTTGAACACAATCTAATTTACTTTTTTTATTATATAAATACAATTCTAATAAAGATTGAACTAATAAATAATTATTATTTATATAAAATATTCTTCATAAATTATTTAAATAATATTTTGATTTGCCATATAAAAAAATAAGCAGGCAAAAATACGGTTTTTTTAGTTCCGGAAAATCACAGGTTTAGTAATAAAATTTTTGGATTAAAAATCAGATTAAAATCGTAAAAAACGGATTAATAGCGCATGACTCACTTAACAAAATTAGAGCAAAATAAAGCCACATATTTACTGATATTTATTAAAATTGTGGTTGAAATATGATTGAATTTGGCCTGGCGGGTTATGAGATATCATGCTTCAAATTAAGTGTTCCAAATTAAAATGAGTTTTGCAAAAAAAATCAGTAACTTTTAAACATGATGAGTTACCAGACCATTTTGTAAAAGTTACTACCATTGAAATCACCAAAAATTAGATAAATTTAATGATGATGTGTTTGGCGTAATACATTCATTTTAATTTAGAGCAAATAAATTAAAAAAAACTGATCCAAGGACTTTAAGACGCGATAACTCGTACGATTCGGATGAAAATGCCACCATTCGATTTGCCAAAACTAGACAAACGAATGGTATATTTTTTTGTCCGGATTAAAATCGTAGATCACGAGATATTGCTCCCCCGTTTTTTCAGATTTTAATCCTGTGATTTCCCGAACTAAAAAAACCGTATTTTTGCCTGATTATTTTTTTACAGAGTTGATATTTTTATTTATTGCTCTTATTCAAATATTTTATAATTTTTTTTTAAATTTATATATTAAAATCTAAAGTACCAAAAAATCTTTTTATTTTGATATTGATTATTATAACTTTTATAAACAAATAAATATTCATAAAATTGTAGTGGCAATTGTAAAATGTAAGGATATTAAAATTTATTAATAAACTATAAAAAATGCAAGGATGTTTCTATATAAATTTTTCAATTTTATGATTAGAATAATGATCAAACTTAATTATAAGCAGTAATTAGTTATCACAGTGTTTTGAATAAATTTGAAAATGTCTATAGAGAAATAATTTCGTTTTACTATTTTGCCAGGAATATATTGTAAGAGTGTGTATCGGGATCTGCTTTTTGCTAATCATTTAATGTTTTTTTTTTATTTTTAGTAAAAATGTTCAGGCTGTAAATACATTAGCTCTTTTTGAGGTAAAAAAAAAACATGTTACCGTTACGTCATAAATCCAATAAATCTTGGTCAGATAGAGCGTTAGTCATCATCAAAAATGAAAATTACAAAATTATAATTTCTTCTGCAATTAATGTTATTTACAGTGTGCGACTAAATAAATACATTCGAGTCTTTTTCAAAAATTGTTTTGTATGTTTACACGGAAACGATTATTGAACTGATTTATCTAACTAATTTAAATACATGTATTCCATAAAGTACCTCCCTGTAGAAAATTTAATTTTTTTCTGCCAAATGAATATTTCAAGATCCACGATGTAATTTCGAAAATTCTTCTTACTAAAAGAATGACTTTGAGGTTAAAAAGTTTTGCAGATATAGGCGCGGTGTATCCACGCAAAAATCCACCAATAAAATTAACGTTAATGCCATCACGTAATATCGATACATGTATTAACATCCATAATTCTTTGTTGTATCCTTTTCGCTTTTTATTTAATGAAATTTTTGCTATCGCTATCGCTATTCTTCAAGTCAATCTATTTCTCATGATTATCGGCTTCAATTTCATAATTTCTTAGTGCAGAAAAAAATGATACTGTACGTACTGTTACAGGTTAGTGACCGATTATAGGAATTAGCTGCTAATCTGTAACTTGGGTGGGAGAAACGAATTAAAGTTATTTTATTTATTAGATTTCCAAAGTCCTGTGCCAATATTGTTGTATTCAATTATCGGTTTGGTTTCGTTCACGTGTTTCACAAATGTTAACAATGCGTTCACTTTTTCTGGACCAAAAGCGTAAACCCTTTAAATCGTAGTCGTTACGGTTATCAACAATTATCTCACCTTTCTGGATTAAAGTGGCAGACCCTTTTTACAACAATGGATTATTGGGATGGAGAAGGAAAAGGCTATAAGAACTAATTTTATGCAAGTAAGTAATTATTTTTAAAGTTTTTATTGCTTTATTACCAATTCTCTCTCTCATTAATTGCTCTTTTTCACTCTCATTATATACATTTTTGGTTTTTAATTTATGATGTAATTTACAATGTAAATTTATGACGTACTTTACAGTGTAATTTACGGTGTAAATTAAGGTGTAATTTGAAGTGCAATTGGCAGTGTAATTT